CACGGAACTGGGTGGGAAATGCCAATGGGATCAGGTGGGAAATGCCAATGGAACCAGGTGGGAAATGCCAATGGAACCAGGTGGGAAATGCCCACAGGATCGGGTGGGAAATGCCCACGGGATCAGGTGGGAAATGCCCACGGGATCGGGTGGGAAATGCCAATGGGATTGGGTGGGAAATGCCAATGGAACCAGGTGGGAAATGCCCACGGGATCGGGTGGGAAATGCCCATGGAACCAGATGGGAAATGCCCACGGAACCAGGTGGGAAATGCCCACGGGATCGAGTGGGAAATGCCAATGGAACCAGGTGGGAAATGCCAATGGAACCAGGTGGGAAATGCCAATGGGATCAGGTGGGAAATGCCAATGGAACCAGGTGGGAAATGCCCATGGAATGGGGGAAAACTCTTGGAATTTCCTGGATTTTTTTCCACTTTCCCAAAACCCTTTCCCCATTTTTCCTGCCTCTCCCAACCCTTTCCCTCCATCATTTCCACCTTTTCCCATCCTCTCCTTCCTTAAATCCTTTCCCACATTGCCTGATCTTTTCTCACTTTTCCCACATCCTCTCCCAACTTCCTTCAATTTCCTCCTGCTTTCCCTCCATCCTCCAGGATTTATCCTGGATCTTTTCCCACCTTTTCCCAAACTCCTGTCCCACTTTCCCTCCATCCTCCAGATTTTTCCAACCATCCTTTCCCACCTTCCCTGGATCCTTTCCCAAAACCCTTTCATGTTTTTCCCACATCCTCTTCCAACTTCCTTAAATTTCCTCCTGCTTTCCCTCCATCCTTCAGGATTTATCCTGGATCTTTTCCTACCTTTTCCCAAAATCCTTTCCCACTTTCCCTCCATCCTCCAGGTTTTTCCATCCATCCTTTCCCACGTTCCCTGGATCCTTTCCCAAAACCCTTTCCTGTTTTTCCCACATCCTCTTCCAACTTCCTTAAATTTCCTCCCACTTTCCCTCCATCCTCCAGGATTTANGGTCCAGCCACCTCCAGGACATGGATTGGTCACCACCATGCTGGGGCTGTCCCATCCCTGGCAGTGCCCAGTGCCAGGCTGGACAGGGTTTGAACCAGGTGGGAAATGCCCATGGGATCAGGTGGGAAATGCCCATGGGATGGGGTGGGAAATGCCCATGGAAGCAGGTGGGAAATGCCCACGGGATCAGCTGAGAAATGCCCACAGGATCGGGTGGGAAATGCCCACGGGATCGGGTGGGAAATGCCCATGGAACCAGGTCAGAAATGCCCATGGAACCAGGTGGGAAATGCCCACGGGATCAGGTGGGAAAGGCCAATGGAAGCAGGTGGGAAATGCCCACAGGATTGGGTGGGAAATGCCCACGGGATCGGGTGGGAAATGCCAGTGGAACCAGGTGGGAAATGCCCATGGGATCGGGTGGGAAATGCCAATGGAACCAGGTGGGAAATGCCAATGGGATCAGCTGAAAATGCCCACGGGATCTGGTGGGAAATGCCAATGGAACCAGGAGGGAAATGCCCACAGAACCGGGTGGGAAATGCCCATGGGATCAGGTGGGAAATGCCAATGGGATCAGGTGGGAAATGCCAATGGGATCAGGTGGGAAATGCCCACGGGATTGGGTGGGAAATGCCCACAGGATCTGGTGGGAAATGCCAATGGGATCGGGTGGGAAATGCCCACGGGATTGGGTGGGAAATGCCAGTGGAACCAGGTGGGAAATGCCAATGGGATCGGGTGGGAAATGCCCACAGGATCTGGTGGGAAATGCCAATGGAGTCAGGTGGGAAATGCCCACGGGATCAGGTGGGAAATGCCAATGGAACCGGGTGGGAAATGCCAATGGGATCGGGTGGGAAATGCCCACGGGATCAGGTGGGAAATGCCCACGGGATTGGGTGGGAAATGCCCATTGAACCAGGTGGGAAATGCCAATGGGATCGGGTGGGAAATGCCAATGGAACCAGGTGGAAAATGCCAATGGAACCGGGTGGGAAATGCCCACGGGATCAGGTGGGAAATGCCAATGGAACCAGGTGGGAAATGCCCATGGGATCAGGTGGGAAATGCCCATGGAAGCAGGTGGGAAATGCCCATGGGATCAGGTGGGAAATGCCCACGGGACTGGGTGGGAAATGCCCACGGGACTGGGTGGGAAATGCCAATGGAAGCAGGTGGGAAATGCCAATGGGGATCATGGATTGGTCACCACCATGTTGGGGCTGTCCCATCCCTGGCAGTGCCCAGTGCCAGGCTGGACAGGGTTTGGAGCAGCCTGGGACAGNTTTCAAAGGCTGCACTGTCAATGCACAGTAATTAATTTGCACAGTATGCTAACAGTGAATTGCAGCTCTCCAAACCATCACTTATGAGCTTTAAATATTTATCAACTCCTGATTTCCCCTTGGTTCCACCAGATCCTGAACGATTCCCTGCTCTCCAGCAGGTTGGGATGAGCAGGGACACAACAGGCACAGACATTTCCAGGACACAATGGGATTGGGTGGGAAATGCCAATGGAACCAGGTGGGAAATGCCCACGGGATCAGGTGGGAAATGCCAATGGAACCAGGTGGGAAATGCCAATGGAACCAGGTGGGAAATGCCCATGGGATTGGGTGGAAATGCCCATGGGATCAGGTGGGAAATGCCAATGGGATCGGGTGAGAAATGCCAATGGGATCGGGTGGGAAATGCCCATGGGATCAAGTGGGAAATGCCAATGGAACCAGGTGGGAAATGCCAATGGGATTGGGTGGGCAGTGCCAATGGAACCAGGTGGGAAATGCCCATGGAACCGGGTGGGAAATGCCAATGGAACCAGGTGGGAAATGCCAATGGAACCAGGTGGGAAATGCCCATGGGACCAGGTGGGAAATGCCAATGGAAGCAGGTGGGAAATGCCAATGGGGATCATGGATTGGTCACCACCATGCTGGGGCTGTCCCATCCCTGGCAGTGCCCAGTGCCAGGCTGGACAGGGTTTGGAGCAGCCTGGGACAGTGGGAAGTGTCCCTGCCCATGGAAGGTGGAACCAGACAGTCCCCAAGGTCCCTTCCAGCCAAGCCATGGGTTTGGAGCAGCCTGGGACAGTGGGAAGTGTCCCTGTCCATGGAATGTGGAACCAGACAGTCCCCAAGGTCCCTTCCAGCCCAACCATCCCAGGATTCTGTGACCTGCCCATCCTGCCTGGCTCTCTGGACACACAGGACAATGTCCCCACTGCAGGTGGGACACAACAGGATGTCACTGCTGACCCCAGAGCACCACCCTCCTGGTCCATCCCTGATTTTTAGGGATAACAAAAGCTGCTCTTCTCCTCTTTCACATCCTCCTCCTCTCTGTTGTGCCCAAGGGCAGCTTTCACTGCACACCCAGGGGAGCCCGAGGCTGTGTGAGAGTGGCCAGAGCAGGGACAGCACTCAGAGCAGTGCCCAAACACACCAGCCTTTGTCCTGCACACAGGGCCACCCATTTACAGGAGATCCCTGCACAAAACCCATCCAAGCTTCTCTTTCAAAGGCTGCACTGTCAATGCACAGTAATTAATTTGCACAGTATGCTAACAGTGAATTGCAGCTCTCCAAACCATCACTTATGAGCTTTAAA